TTTTCCTGTGAGGGGGTGGGGCGGGCTTTGCGCAACCCCAATCCACTGTAGAAAACCCCGCCCCCCCACCCCACTGGCCACAAAGTCGAACGGCCGCGCGGCCATGGCCGCCTACGGCCACCTCCGTGGGAGATTCATAGGCTCTCGTACCCTACCCTTAGAGACTACTACGCTGATAAAAAATACTTAGTCTCGTACCCTACCCTCAGAGACTACTACGCTGATAAAAATACTATGTATCCCCTCCTCCAGGAAATAATTAGCTCATTCGTACCCTACCCTCAGAGACTACTACGCTGATAAAAATACTATGTATCCCCTCCTCCAGGAAATAATTAGCTCATTGGGCTTATTCTCTCGCAGGCTTGCCTTAAAAAAAAAAAACAATTCTCTCTCAGTCAAGCTTACACTTAGGATTAACTTTGATGAGAGGTTAATTAAGAATAAAATTAGGGAACTTTGTAAGAAGGTTGTTCGTGGTATTGATTTTCCAATGTTCCCTCCACGTTATCTGGAGCTTGTTTGTCGTTTTCCTTAGATTGGTTTGGGTTAAAAACAATAGTGATGGGGATCTAGTACATAATTATCGGGAGTACGCATTAGCCTGTAGCTATGATTGCTCTTGTGAGAAGGTGCAGTCCGAGTTTCCTCGCTGCGATGGACACGTTACGTTTTGATTTAGTCAACTTACGTCATCCCTTGCCTTTTGTTTGTTGAATTCCAGAGACGTAGTATCCCCTAACTACTCTATCAACATTTATAGTCTTAGTAGGCATTTTTATATCTCCCACATCCGATTTCTTTCAAAATGAAATTGAACTCCTTATAGATGATCTAAAGGAATGTGTGTCTACTAATAAGGTGTCGCAGAGGGATGTGGTGGAGGACAAAAGTTTTGTAGTTAAGACGCGTTTTGAAAGGCTTGTGTTGTGCCCCTTGGATCATCATGTCCGGGACACATATGTTTGTTCTCCGATTGTATATGCATCTGGGATGGAAAGCTGTTTACAGATAACCCTGGCTTGCAGAAAGTTGAGGATGACGAGTCTATCGTTTTGGCATGGTGTAGGGAATCCTATAAGATTGGGAAGTTTACGGAGATATCCCCATGGGTAATGAGTGGTAAGTTGGGTAGATCGTATGTTATCCCGAAGCACAAGGATGTGAACAAGTGGAGACCGATTTGCCCCCACTGGTCAGAACCATCGGAAAAGGCTGCGAAGATAACCTCGTCTTGTCTAAATGCGTGTCAATGAAGGTTTCCTGGTGGGGAGCTTTGATGTCCAAGAGATGGTCTGCCAACTTCCGCACAGTGCACACTGCGATTACGGCCGCGGTTGAATGGGTCGTCAGTATATTCGAAGAGAAAGGGTATTACATGTGTTTCGTCCACTTGCGAAAAAAAACTTATCTGGTTGTTTAAGGTAGTAGTTAGTGAGGTTGAATACAAGTCAATAAGGTTTTCTGTTTTAGTTAGATTCATTCAATACGACTTGGGTAATACGTTTACTATGACAAGGGGAGTCATTTTCAGACAAATCTAAGGAATTCCCATGCACAAATCTTCAAGCCCAGCCCTCGCCTGTTTAATGTGTGTAGTAGTGTACATAATGAGTTTACCTTCCTCAAGGGTCTGGGTAACGATGCCCGTTTGGTCAAGGGTTGTCGTTTAATTGATAAAGTGCCTATTTTTATTAGGTATAGGTTAGATAATAATGCTTTCAAGGTTAAGGCAGAAGGATTTATTTTAAAGTTTAAGGGGTGTTGTTATAATAAGCATTGATACTAGAGGAGACGAGTGATGGTCTGGAGTGCCCGTATCTGGGCTGTCGGATTCTGGTGGGAGAACAGCTAGCTAAGCAGTCATGGCAGACCCTACATAAGAATGAGGATTGCATCCTAGAAGGTGATGGTATCGTTATTCAAAACTTGCAGAATTTTCATTCGTTCAGCAGTAAGCAGCAGAATATTGTGGTTGTTACTTTGTTTTTTCATAAGGCGTATAATATGGGCACATTACCGACACTAAAGGCAGGTTTTTTGTTTAGCCTTAACATGGAGCTTCGATGCATATAAGTTATCAAGCCATATTATGGCAGGACCCTCGTGAGCCTTAACAACAAGGCTATATAACCGTTTGAACGCGCATTCACCTTCGAACGCCCGCGTTCAAATGGTCGTGGGCCGCGTTCATACACGTTCATACGCGTTCAAACTCGCTATGCGCCACGTGGCGCGAATCTGCCGAACGAGACTCACCCTGCCATACGAGCGCATGGTGGA